GCAGGAATGGAAATCATGAGTATGCAGTACAAAATATATATTCAAATTTAAACAAATGGCAATATTTCATTGATTAAAGATTGAATTGATTCTTTGATTGACACATGATTCTAATGCCTCACTAATTCTCACTGATGACTCACTGATTCACCAATTAATTGATTCAATGATTCTTTCAGCATACAGTAGTAACAATTCTTGTTTAATTGCAAATCTGACGTGACAAATTGAATGACTTACTGTATGGTTCTGTAAGCAAATCAAATAATTCAGCAACCAGTAGCTCAGTTTGATCCAACTGGCTCACAAGACTCATTTGTTCAGGAATCAAACTACACTTTACTTTTTCCAAAGCTTATTGAAGTATATTTTACAAGAAAATACAATTTCTTTCTACTTAAAAATGTTGTTTAATTCAGTGTGTTACTTGCCATTCCTTAGAAATTGCTAGTAAATTTAACAAATAATTAGAGTGAAAATTGTTTCTACACCAATCTTTTTTTCTGTGTGCTCATGTATGTTTAATTGTAAAGATTAGTGTAGTACAAACTTCTCAAATAATGAATACTCAAGAAAAATGATTGAAAATCAAAAAATGTCAAACATTTTAGCAATGCGTAGAAAATGTTTAGATTTACAAGTAAAGCTCTGATTGGGGGATTTAAGCTCTTGACATCTGGCAACCCCACCCATGGAAGCTTGTGAAGGCTTGTTATGCAAATTAAATGTTTTCAGGATAAATAACCAGCAGGCAAATAACGCAGATGATTATGAAAAAAAATAATAAATAAAAACTCTTATTTGGTACTCACAAGTTGTGGGCTTGTTGCAGTTGTGCCCGTGCCGGAAATACTGTGGGTTTTCGATCACTGGGATGCGGGTCATGCCGATCACCACGGCGTCTGGCCCAGCATCCAGAGTACACGGGGTTATGATGCCATGATTAACATGATGGAGGGGGCTGGCAGAGTCTTCTTCACCGCTGATCACAGCCACGGGTCCTGCAGAGAGAAAAGAGAGTCACAAAATGACATTGGTTGCTTAATGGAAAATGAATGCAGCGTAATACATCTGAGAGGGAAAAGCGGGCAGGCTCATTTGTCAGAATAAATGTTATCTCTTAGAGCTGCGACTGGCCTCTGAGCTCTTCTCTGTCATTTGGTCACACATTAAACGCCTCAGCCTGATTCAACCCCAGAAGCCTAAGCTGCCGTGGCCCCGGGCCATGGTAAACACTGACTCCCCAAGTTTCCCTAAGTCCCATCATCAGCTCATTTAGTGGCGTCAACAAAAATACATCCACATTCAGTTTCGGGCCTCCAAGCCGGCAATAGACAAATGACAGGCCTTGACAATAAAGACAGCCTGATGGCCAATGTGAGAGTGTTTCAGGACAGCTGACTTAAACAGCACTTTCCCAATACGCCCACTGCTGCATTTCAATCAATCAATCAATCAATCCATCCATCTCGGAAACAGCAGGGAAAGAAAAAAAAAACTTACCGCTGAGCCTTGAAAATAAAACAAAATTTAAAATACAAATTTTTAAATAAAATAAAATGTAAATGTAATAATATTTAGTAGTATTAATATTAATTAAAATATTTAATATTTATATATAAAAATTATGTTGTATATGACAATTTTAAGATGCTGTTTTAATATTTTTTATATTATATTTTCTGACACTTCAAAGTAATTCTAAGAAAATAGCATTTTTCTCATTTGTGCCTCAGGGCCACTGAAAATGTCACTAGAGCAAGTGAAGATCTGACCTATTGGCCTGACTAGACTAGCACAAAAAAATAAAATAAATACATAAAAATCCTTACTGTTGAGCCCTGAATGAGCAAGCTAACATTTGACTGTTTTGAATGTTCATCAACATAATATATGCTGAGAACATGCAGGAACAGTCATGTTGTCCTTCAAGGCTTTTGATCCTGACAGTCTGTTTTACCTTGGAACTCTCTTAGGAAGATTCACGTGGTCATTTAGTCATAAGGTCAGACGTCTTGACACAGGCCAACGAGTAGACAGACAGACCAAGTTATTTATTTATTTACTTATTTATTTATTTTAAAGAAAGAAGTCATAGCAATCAAATAAAGCTTAAAGTTGTATATAAGCACAGCTGCTTCAGTGTGAGAGATACAAAGACTTTCATATGAAAAAAAAAATCATATGCAAAATAAGGATTGGGAGTGTTTCTTCCCTCAGGGATTACAAATATATGCGCATCTCTTTTGGCAGGTATCATGATGGGAAGCCTGTGGGTAAATAAGTCATATTGAAGGATAAACAAGTAAACAAATAGATTAATAAATACATAAAAAAATGAGCTGAATAGTTTGAAATACGGACCAACTGCATCACTAATTTGAGTGATTCTATTATTAGTAAGCATATTATAAGTCATCATCAAGGTTTCATTTGGAATTTAGTTGAACTGCCAAATGAAAAGTTTTACCTTTGACCTTTATCAGATTCTGTACTGCTCTTTGTGAAATTCAATCTGAAATCGAAATGTTGAATTCGAGCAGCCGCAATTGCTTTCACTGCTATAAACTGAGATTATTTTGAGACAATAGCAGTGGTCTGCTGTGACATATTTAAGGGGAAATCTTGGGTAAAAGTCTTAATTAGTTTTAGCCTTTAAGACAGGAGGAGACGTTCAGCTAAGTGTCAAATGACCCCTGCAGCTAATTAGGTCATTAAAATACTTTTCTTTTCCTTAATTGGAAAGTCTAAAAGCCCCAAAAGGACCATTAAAATAATTTTTGTAAATACTAAAAGGAGTCTTAGCAAGGTGAAAAAGTACTAACACACATACTGGCTAATATAAATATCTCCACTGCCATATGTGTAACTCAATAAAACAAAAACTTGAAGGTGTATAATATTATCATCATTATTATTATTATTATTATTCAATGTTTAAAATATACATTTAAAGCTGCAGAATCAAGTCATCCAAACAATTATTCATTTTATCCACACAATTAAAAGTTGTTTTTATTAGCTCAGTTTTGTTTAAAATTACATTAATAATGTTACGTTTTAAGTTTAAGAGTAACAGCACTCCTTAAAATGCCTCCTTAATATCTTCAGGTTATACTTAGAGATGCGCAAAGTCAGACGCAGCCGTTAATGCGCTTCAAAATAAATACATAAGGCATATTAAATGGCACTTTCAAAATCCTATTATACAGCTGGCACGATGAATTGAAGATCGCATTCACTCGCTGTTGCCTTTTAGCATTTTGAGTTAGGAACTCTATCAATAAAGTGTAGGAAACAATTTGTTTAAGCGGCAGAAAATGAGTGGTGAGCCATAATGTTTCTACAGGACTTCCTCCTCTTGTCATCTTCTCTTTGGACCTAGACAACTGTGTTAGGTCCAGAAGTTTCCATTTATTTTAAAAGGACCTTCCCTGCCTTACAAATAAATAAATAAATCTGGATTATCAACACTGTATTCCAAATAATACATTTTTAAAAACAATTAAAAAAAGCATTTTATTGTCGGGTATTGTCAGACTGCTTTAAGTGTACTTTGAGTTCTCCACTGGGACTGAGCACTACATGAAACACTTTTTTAAAAAAAAGCACATTTCAATGATTAATTATGATTTTATTCCACCTTCCCGAACAATAAAAGCCTCAAGGCCAATATTATTTATTGCCTACACAGAAACATTATTTCATCTTTTCTTCTACTTCTGCATCTGAAGAACAAAGTCAATTTAATAAGATTGTGAGATGGGCGGAAGAGAACCAGCAAAATCTCCAGAAAGACAGTTGCTACATGCCAGAATTCAGATTGTCAACAATACAATTGCAAATAATGACAGCAATTGTATAAAAAAAATGCTATCCTCAAACCTACTGAATGAACAGGTTTAGAACCGGTAAATGAAATGGGTAAGTAGTGACAGACTTTTCATTTATGGGTGAACTACTCCTGTAAAACACCACTGCAAATACCTGCAGCCATGTGTAAAAACATAAAAAATTAGCTTGGCTTAAAACAGATGATGTGCTTCTCTGTTCTGGGCTGATTATCATACAGCTTACAGGAAGTTCTCTTCTCACACTGTTGTTAATTAGCACTGAAAATAACTACGGTAATCCTGCATGAAGACATGCATTACACATGCAAACTCACACATAAATTATCACCTTGCTGTATGTAGAACAGCAATGTCACACAGCTTGTGCCATATGAGTGAGAGTGTTGCATCCTAGATGTGTGTAAGCCAGAACTACATTGGGATTGAACTCACTTTCTGTCATTGCACTGATCTTTACTTTTATGCTCAAGTTACAGTAACGTAAAGTATGATAATGGGATGGGGGCTTTCTATTAGAGTATGAAACTAAATGACCAATTTAAAACCCACAACGAAATTTTATATATATATATAGACACACACACAGTTTTTGCATCTCAAGTCTTATATATATATATATTAATATTATCGTTATTATTATTATTATTACTGTATTATTATGAATGTATTACATGCTGAAATAATACTTTGAAACAATTTTCACTCAGAAAATGCTAGTAAATTTCACAAATAATTACAAAGAAACGGCAAGCAACAACTTTAATTAAACATTACATTTTAATGGCTGAAATGGTGTTTTCTTGTAAAAAGTACTCCAATAATCTTTGTTTTATTTACAACTTTTTTAACAAATACATTTATTATATTGAATTTTATTTTAATACTTTTATAATTATAAATTATTTGTATAATTATATAAAAGAAAACTATTTTTATTATTATTATTACCTAATTCCCTAACCTTCAAAGCGCAAAAAGTGTGAAAGTTAACTTTACACATGTATTTCATTTAAAACTAAAGTGAACCTGGAGCACGGTTTACATGATAAGCAAACCAAATTAACAAAAAGCAAATGGAATTTGAGCCAAATTAAATTTTGCTATTGTCAGGCCTTCACTGGGTTTTGGAACAGAGAGAAAAAAAACAATATAAATCAAGTTTATCATCTCATGGCAACTGATATGATCACAAATATATTTTTGGAGCACATAAAAAAGCATCCTTAGCCAAACATTTTTTATCATGACAAATCCAGATGGAAAACACGGTTTATCGGGACCGAGAATCACATTGCACGCATTTATCACTCTGCTCTCATTTTCAAACTTACACACACTTTTAAACACACACACACACACACACACACACCTGCTGGGGCCGAATCGGCGCAAAAGGTGACAGGGACGATTGATCCTATTTATAAAGGCATCTGAACCCTGCTGTCTGAATGCCATTTTGCCTGGAGTTCATGTGGCTTCCTTTGATGTTGAAAGTGCACCGAGCACTTTTCTGTATCTCAGGTAGCTATAAAAGATAAAACAGGCACTATCCATGCCCACTTCTCTCTTATGGCAATTGTGCCCTGATTGCAATGCAAAGCAGCTATGAGAATCACATTGCACGCATTTATCACTCTGCTCTCATTTTCAAACTTACACACACTTTTAAACACACACACACACACACACACACACCTGCTGGGGCCGAATCGGCGCAAAAGGTGACAGGGACGATTGATCCTATTTATAAAGGCATCTGAACCCTGCTGTCTGAATGCCATTTTGCCTGGAGTTCATGTGGCTTCCTTTGATGTTGAAAGTGCACCGAGCACTTTTCTGTATCTCAGGTAGCTATAAAAGATAAAAAAGGCACTATCCATGCCCACTTCTCTCTTATGGCAATTGTGCCCTGATTGCAATGCAAAGCAGCCATGGAAGACCTGCACGAATAAATTACTCACATTACTTCCTCTGATCTCACCAATGTGCATTGAAGTGTCTCCTTGACATCAAACCAACTTGTGAGAGCGAGGGAGCGAGAGGTACAGACACGGGCAAAGGAGATGGTTCATACTTTCCTTAGCATATGAGACTGATTGGAAGTGGTAGAGCTGGAAAATCAGCCATATAAAAACACTCAGGCCACT